CCATCTCACTATATAAGTGACTCTAGGTGGCTGACAAGTAACTAAATTTAGTTCTTTTCGCTACAGTCTTTTCTGAATGTGGCTAGTCTCTTGACTTCACCACTGTTCATGGTCTAATATAGTGTCTTTGAATTTCCCTGAATAGAGAAACACAGAGCTATTTTAATTAAGCTCATGTTCTCATTTACTAATGTTTGCTTTTGGCTGTTTGTGATATTCATATTCTCTCACCCCATTAATTAATCAAGTACATGTAATGCACAGTGCATACCCCAATACTAAATAGAGTTACTCATTGAAAGCTTCTTTTGCACATTGAAGCCCCACAGATTTGGGAATCACAGCCTTGATAGATTCTGATATTTATCTTTTCAATGCATGATGAGAGACAGAAGAAGACAAATTTGTGTGTGTTAGATTCATGTTCAGTAATTATTAGTCCAGAAATGTGTGAAAGTCCACAAAATGGGCTGTCCATTAAGTTATATTCAAGCTAACACACATTGCGCAGTGTTGTATTAATATCTTCAAGTCTTTAAAAAGATGTCAGATTGTGTATTTATACCCACTCAGTATTTACTGGTCCCATTATTCTGACCAAGGAAAATCCATGGATCACAGATAACTCTTTGAAATATATGTCTGTCATCTATTACCATCAGCAAAATCTAGTATTTGTAAAAGGTTTCTATTGATCCAAAGTGGAAATTCTTTCTTCCCCACCAAGAAAATCCATGGATCTCAGACATTATCTGCCAAATCCTGAAGTTCCCTGTGGGTCATTTGCAGATCTCTCTTCTTTCTTAAGAATCGATGTGGATTCCATCTTCACAAACGCTGCCACATTGTGTTAAAATTATAGGCAATAATAATCTGGTCTGCTGAAAATTTGCAGATGACAGATTTGTCTCTCTTTCCCTCTATTTTTTAACTGGGATGCTGTCTTTATAAAGACTATTATATAATCCTGTCTTACATGAACAAATAAACAATATTTACGCTAATATACTTGTACAAAAATCTAACAAGATACTTGCCTTGTACAGAATAACTTCTAAAGTGTTGGAACACTGCTAAGACATGATATGGCCTCCTTTGAAAAGGCTTTTAAGATGTCTCGTTCTGTGTAAATATGACCTTGTTAATTTCTGTTCAGCTCAGATGTTGGGGAGCATATATCTACGTCACTGGATGTCTTCATCAAAGTCTGATTTCTCTGGCCCTGTTTTTTTCTCTTTTTTTAAAACAGACTCTCTATATTGCAAATTGGGGGAAAATCCAAATAAATAATGTGGATAACTATTTTAAGCTTTCAAGTTGACCTGGTTACATATGAAGTAGGTAAAGTATATATTACATTGGGGCTAGCAAAATTAGAGAACTGTCAGGCAGCACCTGATCTTGCTCGTGAATAAATTGATCTGCAATTGTAGGACTGCAATTTCACAAGGGTAGAATGTGGATAAAAGTGCATGAACAAAATCCAAACCAGCAAAGGTCCCCATTCTTGTTAGAAGTATGGATGAGATCAACCTTCAAATGCATCATATGGTACAGACAGGAATATATATCCTTATCTGCTACTGGTGTGGTTATTACCCACACGTTGTGTGCAATATTTCACTGCCTGCAAATATCTCTGGGTTGTAAAGTACACAAGGTCATCTGTCATCTTTGATTGACCTGTGGCCTAATGAGAAGTAGTAAATGGAAATCCACCACCGTCTCTTACATAGGAGAAAAATGGGTACATCTCTTTTCCTTTGTTTGTCTAATTCATATGGAATCTATGGTGTTTTGTCTGACAAATGACCCTCCCAACTAAGACAGACCTCTCTAAGGGATCATGTCAGTGGAATTCAATGGAATACTTGGAACAGGCTTAGAGAAAGGGCTTTTAATTGTCTAAAGCAGTGTTTCTAGCCTTGGCAACTTCAAGATGTCTAGACTTCAACTCCCAGAATTCCCCAGTCAGCATGCTGGTTGGGGAATTCTGGGAGCTGAAGTCCAAACATCTTAAAGTTACCAAGACTGAGAAACACTGGTCTAAAGGACTATTTCTGAATTTTGATAATTCTTAAGGGATAAGAGCAATTGGTCCCTCATCTATCCATAATTGCAGATGT